AGATATATAAATCCGATCCGGCAGATTCTTCTTTCTATAGAGTTGTGTGGAATGCGAAAAGTTATAAATGTACAACTAGGCTCAAGCTATCTTTTAAAGCCAAGGACTTTCATAGACAAAATGTCACAAAATTCGAATGCCCTTCTTTAAAGAGTATAAATTGTTATACAGTTGCAGGGTGGAAGGGTGAGGGGGGGGGGGGACACAAAGCATCGATAAAAAGCGCTAAAAAATCGACTTGTGTGTGATTTATGAGCGTGTCCACGAATTTGTGGGGTTCGCGCTACGGGCTGGGGTTTGGGTTTCGGCCGGATCGCATCATTGCGGCATAATCGCAATCAAAGTAAGTAGCTGGCGGACCCCAACCCACCCCCTCCTTCACCACCCACCCCTCACCAGCAGCCCGCCCAGCGTCAAGGGAAATTGAAATTCAACCTAATTGCGGGAAATTTACAACGCAACTTAACAGCTGACAGATTTTGGCTTTTTGTTTGGCTTGCAAAAGCCTTTTGTAGATAGAAATTTTCTTGGTTTTTTTTTGGTATTCATAAATCTTGGCAGACGCTCATAATTCATGCAGCACTCGACGATTGGCAGGCGCAGGGCGCAGGGCGCAGGGCGGAGCGCGGAGGCGGGGAGTGGCAGAAGGGCTGAAAAATGTTTTGAGTTTCTGGGCAATAAGCTCAACTTGCGCCAAAAAAGTTTCTTACCAATGACAACGCAGCGCTTTGGCTTTGGGAAAACTGAAAAAGAAAACCCCACAAATGGCAGGGGGGGGGGGGGGGGGGTTGCCTGAACAAACAATGCTGCAAGTCGAAGCAAAACATTTCTGGCCATATTTCTCCCAGCGCTGACAAGTTCTTAAGTGCGTGTGGGCGAATGGGCGTGTCGACAGCTTAAAGCTTCATCCTTAATTGATAGATTTGTTTATTTATGAGGCGAAATTGTCTCCCTTGCTTCCCTAAGTAAAGTAATGCAATTTTTAGCCTGAAAACAATTTGCATTTGTATAAAAGAAAAAACGTCTATATAAAGTATATATATTATCGATCCTGGGTTGCGTAGATATATCCATGAGTGGATATAGTCAGCAGAGGCAAGCGTTAAAAGTTCGACCTAATGTCTATTCGATAACGTCAATTTCATGATATCGATAAATATCGATTTTTAGACGTGGCTAGAAATCGAAATCTAGGCATCTGAAAACTAGATTCTCGCACAGTTTAGACAGCTTTAGAATATTTAACATTGCTGTTTCTGGCTGAATTGAATTTTTATCGATTACTTGGGGCAAGTTATCGACTATCGGAAACAAGCTCGTACTGCCCATTTTCAATGATAGCTATAAAATAAAAATACTTTATATACACGTCTCGCAGCTTTGTGTCAAGTTTGGTGACTCTAGCTCTTGTAACTTACGAGATTTGCTCAAAAAACACGATTTTGATATCGATTTGTATCGATTACTTGGCAATGGGGCAAGTTATCGACTATCGGAAACAAGCTCGTACTGCCCATTTTTAATGGGTTCAGAGTATAAAAATCATCAAAAAGATTCACATCATTCCAGAGTTGGTTTTTTTGTCAAAAACTATGAAGTCAGCTCCCAATATTAGATTCTATTGATTTCCAATCGATAATAGGTATCCGTACGAATACAAAGAGGTATAACACAAAAAAATCAGACGATATTTACCCGTGATATTAAAAACAAGGGAAAAAACAACTTTTGATTTTTGAAGCGAACCCGATTTTGAGAAAACACGTCATTGCTTTTTGGTTGATTTTGGTCAAAATTTAGATTTTTATTTTTTTGATGCCAATCGATAGTTCTGATTCTTACGAGTGTAAAATGGTATAAAATTCCAAAATCGGACATTCTTTTGCCGAGATATACAAAAACATTATCAAAAAATGTCGTTTTTTGGTCACAACTTTTTTCAACCCATCGATTTTTAATTTTTTTGAACGCCAATCGATAGAATTTATCCTTATGCAATTGCGATTACATTGTTTTCTGTGCTGCTTTTTTAATTCGTGTTTTTTCACTGAGACTTAATTCTTGGTGTGGCTGTTGAATAGAGGCATTTTCAAGTAGTGCGGTATTTTGTGGGTTCGACTCCTATTGAAGGAAGTCATTTTTATTTGTTTATTTATTTTTACTACTAGAGCCTCTTATTTGTTTTATTTGAGTGCTTACAATATTACTCTAAAGTTTCTCAGAGTGTTCGATGTAATTAATTATTTTAATTATAATTTAATATATATATATGACTCTATACAATTTAAAAATCAGTTACAAAAAGCGTTGCACTCTATTCCCGAAAGGTGCTGGGCACGCTAGCGTCATCTAGCGACATGCGAGTTAACTAGGAAATTGTGCTAGAAAAATATATCGCAAATACGCGGCAGCAATGCATAATTATGCTTGCCTATCGATATACTTAAGCGCGATTTTATATGTTATTGAAAGCCAAAAGCATAATATTAGATATATGCAAAACATTTCATTACAAATGATTGTGAAAAATCAAGAAAATGCGGTGAAGTTCTCGGCATTGACTAGCCAAACATAAATTTGTACATGTGGCAGCCGTTGCGGCATACTATCGCTAGCGCTGTTAACATATGCGATAAGTATCGCGCTTAACAGCTATCGATAGGCGTTGGCGCGCTTACAACAAATCAAACACATGTGCTCACCACCAGCCTTAACCGTTATTGTGCTGCCTGCATTTTGCAAACTCATTTTGTTCGAATTTTTGTGTTAGTTGTGTTGTCCGCCATGCATTTGTCACTAATTATTTCAATATTGTTAAATTGTCTGCGCCTGGCTGTAGCCGCCATCGACGACGACTGCCCAACGCTGGCGAACGGCGACAGTTTGTCCCAGACGCAGTTGATCGACCGTCTGACGCACGGCTGCCGCTACGATCGCCTGGAGCGTCCTGTTACGTACACTGAGGCCGGCACACGTTTGCCGGTGGATGTGTACATGCGCGCCTATATATACTTTATGCAGAACCTGGAGGCGCACGATCTGCAATTCAAGATCTTTGCGCTGCTGCAGATGCGTTACTTGGATCCACGATTGAATTTCCGACATGTGTCACCCAAACGGCTGCAGCCCATTTTGGGTGAACAGCAGCTGCGCGATTCTCTGTGGCTGCCCCACATCTTTCTGGCCAACGAGCGCGACTCCAGCATCTTGGGTAAGTGTCGTTAAATTTTCCAAGGTCTGAGCCAACAAATTTCTGCAACATTTAGGCACCACGGAGAAGGATATTCTGACATCTGTTTCGCCGGATGGCACGGTCATTGTCTCGACGCGCATTAAGGCCACGCTCTATTGCTGGCTAAATTTGAAGAAATTTCCATTTGATGAGCAGCACTGCTCCACGGTCTTGGAGAGCTGGATGTATAACACATCCGAGCTGGTGCTGCATTGGGAGCAAAAGCGTCCCATCACATACGATCCGGCACTGCATCTGACCGAGTTTCTGTTGCAGCGCTCCTGGTCGAATGAGACGGTGATCAATGCCGATTTAAGCGATTTGCGTCATGGCGCCTTTGCCGGAAATTATAGTTCACTCAGCTTTACGGTGCATCTGACACGCGTGGTGGGCTTTTATTTGATGGACTACTTTCTGCCCTCGATCTTAATTGTGGCCATCTCATGGGTATCCTTCTGGCTGCAAGCGGACCAAGCGCCGCCACGCATTACCCTTGGCACCAGCACCATGTTAACATTTATTACACTCGCCTCAGCACAGGGTAACTCACGATGAGCACTGCGAATCATGATCTTTGTTGTTTTAACGTTTGACTCTTTTGGACGCAGGCAAAACTCTACCCAAGGTCAGCTACATTAAGGTGTCGGAGGTTTGGTTTCTTGGCTGCACCATATTCATATTCGGCAGCATGGTGGAGTTTGCATTTGTGAACAGCATTTGGCGGCGCAAACACAATGTGCCCATCAGGAAGCTCAATAGTCGGCACATTCTGAAGTCGACGCTATCGCCGCATTTGATGCGCCGTCGCAGCCACGCTCGCTCCCTTTCATTTTCAGGAACTGGACGCCAGACGGACAGCAGCTCGCTGGGCGGCAATCCACCGTTCAACAACTATTTGACGGTCAATCTGCCCATTTCGACCATTACCGAGGGCCAGGAGATGGCTTCGCGAACGGCTCCGAAACGGAAAAATAGCCTTCATATGCTGAGCAGCACCAATCGCAAGCTGGATGTGACGTTTGTGGAAAGCGCCTTGGGCGCTACTGTAACTACGGCTGCTGCTCCTGTTGCCGCTGCCACCAGCATGGAGCTGCCCGATTTTAGCAGCTGTAACAATCTTCTGGGTGAAGAGTTTAGCCATGAGGAACAGATTGCTTCTACCGGCTGGACAACACTGACTCCACAGGAAATCGCCATTTGGATTGATAGCCGAGCGCGTTTCATATTTCCGATTGCCTTTTTGGTCTTTAATCTGTTCTTTTGGACATTTGTCTATTGTATCTAAAGCGCTGTGTCGCCATTTTAATTTTATTATTGAATTTTATGTTTTATTCGTGTTTTTAGCTATTGTTTGTGTTTGATTAAATCGATGTTGCTTTTGGCGTTTCAAATTTGAATTGCGCGCTCTGATGCTTGCACATTGAATGCCAGTGTTGGCTAACGATATCTGTTGTTTAGTTAGTTCTGCAAACAGAGATGGCACCTTGTTGGCCAATGTCGCAATGCAGCCTGTGTTAGAGCAGTGCGGCCATAGTGACAGATGGCATCAATTTTTTTTCCAACACATACGCGTACACACACAACCAAACAATAACATCGGGGGCCCCAAAAACGCTCGTTTGCTCGCGACCGACGACGACGGACGAAAAACCTTCGTCGTGAATGGTAAATGAAAAAAAGAAAAAAAAAATAAAGTGCAATTTTAACCCTACGCCAAAATAAGAAGAAAAAAAACTGCATAGAAATTAAGCAACAAAAACAACGCAAGCGGAGTGCAAGTGGCAAACATAAACAACAGCAAGAACAAGAACTAAACAAACGCAGATCGCTGTCTCTGTGTGCGTGCTAGCGTGCGTGTGTGAGTGTGTGTGTGTTACAGTGTGTTGTTATTGCATTGGTTAAAAAAAGAATACAAGGCAATTAAAGCTTTTGGATGCGTGTAAATGCTAACCGGTAAAGTTAGCCGATCCCGTTCCCCTTGCCAATACATGTGCAACGCCAAACAACCGCAACAGCAGCAGCAGGAGCATCCGCAGAAACAATAACAATACCGCAAGACGCAGCGAGCACGTTGTCCTGCCCCTGCCGCCAAACTGGAGCAGAGCCATGGACACCATTTGTAGGCTGTGCTTTCAGACAGCAACGGTAAGTGCAAGAAACAGTTTCAAGCTTAACTATGCAATGCATGCATACATATAAACATGCATATACATACATATATTATTAAGTTGGCGGGCGCAACAAGCAGCGCATTTTTTTTTTATGTGTTGTATTTTGTTATTTCTATTGATTTTTGTCTCTTTTTTGTGCGGGGGGCGAATGATAAAAATTGAATTTGTGCGCCGATTTTGCACTGTTGCTGACGCTTCTTCTTTCTGTTGCTGCTGCTGCTGCATCGCCGTCGTCAATTGGGTGGGGGTTGAAAAGCGCGCGCAGAACACGGCGCGACCCCAAAGGCAAAAGTTTGGCTCGCGCACACGCACGCACGCACACACATACATATATAAATATGTATATATGTATGTGTGTATGTATATGTATCTATGCATGTTTGTATGTACACCGTATGTGTGCGTGTGTTTTGTTTTTCCCCTCCCTGGCACCAACTATTGCGGCCGTTTATTTTTAGCCAAGTCAGCCAAAGTTGCTCAAGCCGCCAACTTGAAAACAAAAAAAAAAAATATTTATATAGATGTATGTACATATGTACATGCGTATGTATGTCGAAAAATAATAATATTTTTACATTTCGTTTGTGCGCTGCTTTTCATTTTGACTCCTTTTCAACAAGAGCACAAAACGAAATAATATGAAATAAAACAAAATGACAAAAATTCCGCTAAGGCAGCAGCGGCGTGCGCAGTAGGGGTCCCAGCTCATTGCCGGTAAAGTGCGGTAGCGATTACGTTACAGCCAAAGCCAAGCTTTATGGTGCTGTAGAACACTGGCATGCACACAGACCTACATACATATATGCACAACATCGACGAACTCCAACACCATTTGCTGCTATAAGCGTAGCTTTGTGACGTCACATTTCTAAGACCCCGTGCAACGACGCCCCTGTTCGTTCGCAGCAAAACAAAACAAAAACGAAAGAATAACAACGCTGTAGAGGGGGAAAAAAAAAACATGAAATGAAAACAACAAACCGTCGTTGCCGTCGCCAGTGTTGTCGTTGTTGTTGTTGTTGTTATTGTAGTTGTTATTGTTTGGTGCTGGCATTTCGGTGCGCACGTGTGCGTGTGTGTGTGTGTGTGTACATATATATATGAATATATATGTATATATATGAGTGCTCCTTGGTTGTTATTATTAGGAGATGACGAGTAAGGGGAGCTGTGGAGTCTGCATCACAAAAAAAAAAAAACGCGTTATGTATCTTTGTTTTTTATATAGATTTTAATACCAACAAACTTTCTTTTTTGGTTTTCAACCTTGCACGCCAATTTGAGTCTAATTTCTAATCTCATTTTTTCCTCTCTTTGTTGCTCTAATTACAGCTATTTCAAGTGCCCGGCTATAGCATACCCACGTGCGTGCGCTGCTCGGAACAGTTGACAAACAATTCGAACTTCCATCAAGCGGTGCGTGTGCAGGACGGCGCAGCAGCTACTGTGGCGGCCGCTGCAGTAGCCGCTGCTGCTGCTGCATCCACGGCGGCCAGTGAGGGCGACGCGGTGGCGGCACAGCTGACAAACGGCAGCGCTGTTGCTGCTGTGCTGCAGTTGCAGCAGCAGCAGCAGCAGCAACAACAACAGCAGCAGCAGCAGCAACAACAACAGCAGCAGCAGCAACAACAGTTGCAATCATCAAGTTCTTCCGAGAATCTACAATCGCAGGACGATTCTGAAGATGTAAGTGTGAGCGAGCGAGCGAGTGAGCGAGTGAGTGTGTGAGAGAGAGAGAGAGTGAGAATAGTCGCACTAATAGAATCTTACAACAGTGTTGGCTTACGGCATAGACACGCACACATACAAGCGCAGAATAACTGCAATATTCCTGCCGCGGCACTTGTCCATTGCTGTCTTGTTATTTTTTTTGTTCTCTTCCCCTATACATAACTGCAGATTACACTGGCAGTAAATACATGTGTATATACATAAATACATACATATGTATGTACTAATGTACATTCATAGTTCGTTTCCTTCTTCTTTTGCTTGCTTCTTTACGCTTTGCTTATGCCTTTGCCTTTCTTTTTCACACCGCTGCACTGAGAATATTGGCAACAGCAGCAACAACAACACAGATGCCCTACATCATTTCTGTCTGCCCAGCCGGGCATAACAATAAGCTAGACAGCACACAGTACAACTTGTATAAAACATAAAAAGGACTTTTGTGTGTGTGTTTTTTTTTTAAATTATTATAAATAAAAAGCACATACATGTATGTGCGCATAAATGTAATGCCTGCTTCTAGTGAATGGCTATAAAGTAGTTGTGCGATTGCAGGGTATGCGCACTTCGCCTTCACCGGCTCTTGTTGCCCATTTTCTTCTTTTTTTTTTGTGTTGCCTTTATTTTGTTTTGTTTTTTTTTTTTTATTTATTTTTTTTTTATTTTCATTAATATCTGCGCTGTTTGCTTGCCTTTTTCTTGCTTTGCTTTTCACGACGGCAGCAGCAGCAGAAGCAAAAACAACAACAACAACAACAATGACAGCAGCGTCAGAGGCGACTGCGACGCCAACGTCGACGTCGACTGCACGACGTTTTTGTGCGCTGTGTAAAGCGAAAAAAATTCATTTTCAGTTGACGCTTTTGTGTGGGTGTGCGTGGCACGCAAAAAAAAAAACGCAATACAGAATTTAGAAAAAGAATTAATACATCTGCAATAAACAAACATAAGTCGCAAGGAATTTGCGCATAGAATTAAATTTGCAACAATTTTGACCGCCAGCTTGTTGAGCGTAAGTGTGCGTGCGTGTGCGTGCGTGAGTGTGTACGTGTGTGTGTGTGTGTGTGTGAGTGTGACACTTGCAATTAGCAAAGCTCCGAAGCTCTCTGTCAAAATGCAACTGTAACCGTTTCGCTAACTCTCTCGCTCTCGCTCTCTTTGAACGCAGGTGGATCTGATATTCAACGAGGAGGGCTCCTGCCCGCTGTGCAACAAGACCTTCTCGCGCAAATCCTCGCTCATGACGCACATACGCAATCATTCGGCTGAGCGTAAATTTGTGTGCACCTACTGCCACAAAGGTGGGTACATTTAAACAAAAAAAAAAACTAGCATGCCTAGGCAAAGCTGCTCAATAGAAAACATACAGTGCACACTCGATATGGTGAACCCTTGATAGAGTCTAGTTTTGAACATTTTAAATAATAAACCAGAGCTAAATTCGAATATTTGATACAATAAATGAGGCAAAGCTGCTCAATAGAAAACATACAGTGCACACTCAAAATGGTGAACTTTAGGTAGCATTACACAGTACAGCAAGAAGTCTAGTTTTGAACATTTTAAATAATAAGCAAGCGCTGATTGTGATTATTTTCTTTTTTTAACAATCAATTAAGTTACAAAGGACATTTAGAAATTCACATTTAAGACTAAATTTTCAAAATGGAATTTCTAACAAACGATTTTGACAGAATTATCGCAAGCTCAAACCAAAGCGTTTCAATTAGCGAATGACAACTGTGACAGCAAAGGGTATATTGCAGGTCCTAGAAATATATATTCCCTATATTTTTTTTTTATCGATATCTTCCCTCATTTGAATAATATTGATAAAAACGAATTTGCGACATGATTTTTTAAGCATCATTTGAGAATTAGATAATCTTGAGAATGAAAACAAAAATATTCATTTTAGATTCACAGAGTTCAGGGTATCTCCCAGTCGGGCAAGCTCTCTAACCCCTTTATCGCTGCTTCGATATTGAGACGCAATATGACAATGACCTATAGCCAGTGTTCACTGTATTTCTTGTATATTAAACTGATATTAATTAGCTTATCGATGCTTCGATATTCAGACCGAATATGACAATGGCATCGACTGGGTTTCGCATAGCCAGTGTTCACTGTATTGCTTGTATATTAAACAGATATTAACCAATTGCCCACCCCAAATTACAGGCTTTACGCAGGCGGCCAATTTGCGTAATCACGAGCGGATACACACAAATGATCGGCCGTATCAGTGCGTGGACTGCGGCAAGACCTTCACCCAAATCACAAACCTTAACAATCATCGACGTCTCCATACGGGCGAGCGTCCCTTTGTGTGCAATGAGCCGGAATGCGGACGCAGCTTTGCCCAGGTAAGTGTCTGTCACTGCTTTGATGGCAAACTGTAATTGAATTGGCCTTTGCAGGTGACCAATCTGAACAACCACATGAAGTCGCATCACAAGGTGCAGCAGTATTGCTGCAACGTGTGCAGCAAGAAGTTCACGCAGGTCACCTCATTGAATCAACATCTGCAGGCGCACGCCGGCGTCACCGGCTACTATTGTCCGCGCTGTCCGGAAAAGAACTTCAAGCTGCAGTCACAGCTGCATACGCACATGAAGACACACGGCCTGGCCTTTCCGTATGAGTGCAGCAAATGCGATGAGAAATTCTTGCAGCAATCGCATCTCGATCAGCATCTGAAGATGCATGACGAGTTCAAATTTAAGTGCGACATATGCCCGAGCAGCTTCAATCAGGAGTCGCTGCTCAAGAAGCATGTGCAGCGCCACGTCGAGGGACGCTACCTCAACTGCCCGGTGGCTAACTGTGCCGAATCCTTTGCAGTCCGACAGCATCTATCCAAACATTTGCTCACCAATCACTCGCATCACGAGCTGCCGCCACCGAAACGATCCAAAAAGACGATCACCCTGCAGTCGCCGCAGCAGCCGCTGGCCATGATCGGGCAGCCGCTCTCGCTGCAGCATACGACGGGGCAGCGTAAGTCCCCCCAGCCACAGCTCGAATGTAAACAAATCGGACGGCTGCTAGCTAACATAGATACCCTGTATATATTTGCAAATGTTTAAGAGAGAGGCGCAGGCCAACTTTAAGTAGAGCAGAAAATTGTTCAGCATGCTTATATATACTATATACTATATACATTTGTAAAGTTAGGGAACTTAGGAACATGTTGAAAACAGGCATATTGTATTTTAGAATCTTTACATATTTAAGCAACTTTTTGTCACATATAGATAATTAATAGAACTATTATATAGCCATATCAGCAAACTAGGCACAGCTAATTTAATAGTAATAGAAGCTAATAATAGCTAATTTATATATATAAGTCTGTTTGTTTCCATGCAAACTAGTCTCTCAGTCTCGCAGGCAGCACTACATTTCAAGTAGTCCAAATCGGATTAATATATAATAATTATAGCAACAATTTGTATGCATAAACTTTTGGTTATTCAAGTTCTACCAAAGAGCAACATTCTATCTATCGTTCATACTCTTGTCATATAGTTCCATAGGAAGGTTTTTTAAGATATCCTGATCAAAACTTGGGTTTGACAAGCTTCACAAACTGCAAAATTCATTTCTAGACGATATATCTAAAAGGTTATTAGATCACCTGTCGAAAATAATCGTTCCTTTTGTTATTTCAAGAGCCCCGTCTGTTTAGACATAGTCCACAATTAGTGTACGTATTAAACTTGTTAAGTTTGCATAATATATATATATTTTGTTAAAAGTGTACGGGGCATATCAGCTAGTCGATCGATTTGGCTTAATTTGAGCTTTGGCACAACTTCAATTGTTACATACCTATATTAATTTGTGGTCCTTTTTTCAGGTGGCAGACCGCCCAAAAACAAGAACAAGACCTCACTGGCAGCTACGGCCATTAAAATTGAAATCAACGAGCCGTTGCACAGTCAGCACATCATCAGCAGTGCCAGCGGCCTTTCCATACAGCAGCAGATCAATCAGCATATGCAGCAGCAGGCGGCGGCGGCGCAACAGCAGCAGCAGCAGCAACAGCAGCAGCAGCAGCAACAGCAGCAGCAGCAGCAGCAACATCTGCATTTGCCCATGGGGCAGGCGGTCAAGGCGCGCTTTATACCCACTAAATAGAAGTTAGTTAGTCGCGAGAGCGAAGGAGATAGCAAGCTAGAGCGAGCGAGCGAGAGAGTTGGAGCGCGTGAATGAGAGCGATGTGGCTGCTCAGTAGCGTTTGCGATCGATCTGGCGTGGCGTGTTTACCCCCCTCCCCCCTCCCCCTCCAAATTGCCCAACCGACCCACAGTTCATTTAACACTAGCAATAGTTAACAGAAAAAAGTTTTGAACAAAATGCATCACATATCCTGCGAGCACATACATAGACATATACGCATACATACACATGCATACATTCATACAATATGCAAATTACGTTAGCCGATAACCGATAACTGATAAACCGATAACCGTTAATTGATTGCACAAGTGATGGCAGCCCGCACAGACGCCAACTGGCGGCAGCGGCGCATCGGCTGAGGCTGCTGGTTCGGTTACTCGGCTCCTCGCGCATGTCGCGACGGACGCCGCAGCTCTTGCGCCATTCGCGGCTGCCAGCTTGACGCCTGCGCCAGCGCCTGCTCCGTCACTTAAACAAAACCATAAGCAAACCAAAAAAAGCAGCAACAAACAATATTCAATATATACAGCTTTTAAACAAACAAACAATTATATATATAAAAAAAAAAACAGCAAAATACATCCAGCAGCAATTACCAGACGAGCGAAGACGTAACGCATTATCACGTCACGTCACGTCGCGTCACGTCACGTAACGTAACGTTAAGCAACTACAAACAATTGTAACTTAAATCGAATTAAATTGTAACAATTAAGTGTAAAGTTGTAATAAGCCAGGCAAAATGCATAAAAACAGATTTACAAAAGTAAAACAACAACAAAAAACGAAAAGAAATACTTACAATAACAAGTAATTATATATATATATATATATATAAATATATAAATAAATCCATTTAATTTGATATCTATTTTAAGTAATTAGTTTAAGTGTTTTTAATTTTTTTTTTTTTTTTTTTAATAAAACCTAAAGCAAGTATGAAAAGTCTGCAATTGTTTAGTACTAATTTACATCTATACAAACATACTCGCAAGTGCAGAAAATTTGTTTAATCAACCCAAGTCCGAGCTGATTTTTTTCAAATCTGTGCTTGTGCGCGGGTTAACTTTAACAGAATCATGTTATGTTAATGTTATGTTATGGCAACTTAACAGCTCATGTTAAAGTAGCATAGGTCTGGAGTGGGCTGCTGTTATTGCACTCAGTCTGCTTCGACCAGTCGCGGTGAGCAGACCTACTTTTTTTTTGGCGGATAATTTTTTCTTTTAATTTTTTTTTTTGGCTGCTTTGCAGTTTACTGATTTTACGTTTACCAAGCAATAACTATTTTTACAATATATTTTTTTTTTTCAATATTTGGTTGCAATATTTTTCGCAAAGTACTCGACGACAATGTGTGAAGACTCGAAAGAGAATAAAAATTTTTTTTTTACACATTTAGTTTGACTCGAAGCTAATTTAATTTTTATTATATTTTTGTTCTCCAATCTTTGATCACAACAATTTGGGGACACTTTTCCCTTCTGGTATTCGACGAGAAGGTGTGATCCCTCGAAGAATTTTTTTCTCTCTTTTTTTTTTCTCTAAGCTTTTGGATATCATATTTCTCTTAAGGAATATTGTTTTATTGTCAATTCATTTGACCGCAATAATTTGATAACATATTTTTCTTTAAAGAAAGTTCAATAGAAATTTTTTGTTGTTTTCTTTTAACATTTGGCTGTCTTATTTGTCTCAAATAATATATTTTCTTGATTCATTTGACCACAATAATTTGGGAAAAAATTTATCTCGGTGAAATTCCATCCATGATTTATCTCTATAACAACTAAGAATATTTTTGTCACATTTTACATATTTTTGCTTTTTTTTATAAGTTTTGTATAGAAAGATTTTTATTATTTCAAAATATGTTAATTTAACTTAAGATTTCTTAACTTAACCAAAAAAGTTGAATCGTTTTAGGACAGCATTTGTAGTTTGTCTGGACATATTAACCAAAACTATATCGACTATATGTATAGCTATAGGAATTATCGGTCGAAGCATTAGCTTTTGTATGAAAACTTTCTTCTGTTTACAATTCTGATATATTTACATCGAACTGCTTTAAAGCTTTATAAAGTCTATTTTTTATCTTTTTTTTTTTCTGATTAAGCTCTCGTATAAAATATCTGCAGAGCCGCAAACATTTTCAAGACGTGTGTCTGCAAGGGTATTAAATATTCGGTGCAAAGGAAATTAAATGAATGCTTAAAAATTACAAAATGTTTAATTGCAGGCGGAGAATGTACAAGAATCATACCCTAAGGACATACCCTTCCGACTGGAGCAAGCATTTGGTAACACAAAGCGTAAGTCTAAAAGGCAGCATTATTATATATAGTATATATGATATATGCTTTACAGTTGCTTGCCTCTCTTAAATCTTCAGTCAATTGGGCAAGGAGTGCTGCTGGGCTGAGGCTCCAGGACTAGGTTGCCTGAAAGCTGGCCAAACGCACATCGAACTCGAGCTTGTGCTCGTTCTTCAGATAGCGTCGCATGCCGAGCAGCAGATAACGCAGCTGGGGTGCGCCCAGCACGTCCAGTAGGAGCACCATCAGTGTCTCGAAGCAACCGTCGCCGCCAGTTTTATAGGCCAGCAGCGCCTTGCCAAAGCTGCGAAACTGATCACAATCGATGACGCTGCGCACCTGAAACGTGAAGGAGTTAAAGGAGGGAACTTCTTGCTGTGGGCCAGATACGAACCTCACGCAGAAAATCTGCACGCGATTCGGGCGCTTCTTTGAGCTGAGATTGAGCGGGAGTTGGGCAGTAACTGCTGCTAGTCGAGGCCGGCTCGCTGGGCTCCGTCTTGAGCGGATCGTTGCCGATGAGCTTGTAGCGCTTCTTGGCAATCATCGAAGATTCGCTGGCTGTGGGTGAGCTGCGCTCGCGCTTGTGTATCTTGACCAGATCCTGACCAGCGTCCGCGCCATTAAAGTCGATGCTCTGACAAGTCGCAAGGGAAATCAGTTCGGAACATCAACTCAGGCAAACAAACTTACCGTCACATTGGCATTGAGTCGACTCATAAAGTCCATGGCATCGGGCGGTCTGCGGCCCAGCGTGCTGCATCCCGCTGCATTCGCATAGTCCGCCGGCGTCCACGTCTTAATGGAGTTGGCCATTTCAGCCTGGCTGCAAAGTGTTAACATATTTTAAAAGCTAGTCAGCATTAGCTGAGGCCGTGCATAACTTACGCAGCCAGCTCGCTGGCCAGCTGAAACTTGGTGCCTCCGGTGCCGGGTTCACGTTTGATGGTGATCTGGCTGCTGCTGGGCGCCAGCGTGGGCTGCTCCTCCTTGCAAACGGTTTGCAGCAGCGGCTCAACGACACGCTCCTCGGGCTGTGCCATCTGTGGAATGCGGAAGATTAGTTGGCATAAGAAACGCGACTCGGTTTAAATGTGGGCTAACCGTTTGCTCGGCATGCTTGAAGAATTGCCGCAGCTCACGCACAATCGGGCCAAAGGGCGAGCTTTGTGGCCGTGCGCCCAGATGGCCGCGTATCCATTTGGACAGCTGCTGCACCTGCGACATATCCTGGAAGCGTGCATCGCACAGCAAGATGGCGCCATAGTCGTTGCGATGCCGGATGACACGGCCGATCGCCTGATTGACGGCGCGTGTCGCATCCAAACTGTACCATTCCTGGCCGCTGAGCAGCTGGTTCTCTTTGGTGCGATTCGTTTCCAGGTAGCGACGCTTCAATACCACCTTGGGATCCTTGAGCGGTGGAAAGGGCAGGCCCGTTATGATCACCGCCCGACCGTTGCGATCGGCAAAGTCCAGGCCCTCGGACACCTTGCCGCGACACACGGCCATAAAGCAGGCGCCCTTCGAGTCGCGTATCGCCTGATAGAACTCCTCCATGGTGCTCGTGAACTGATCTTTGCCGCGCGGCTCCAGAAATATTGGCTTGCGGCACGATATATCCGCCCACAGGCCGCTCGCCTGCCAAGCGTCCACGCACTGGTTCAGCATTGGATACGACGGAAAGAACACCAACAGACCGTCCGGCACAATGCGCGACACATTCAAGATCGTTTGGCCCAGCGAGCTGATGTACTTCGGATTGTCCCTGTGTATGAAAGAACAAGAAATATTAATTCAACTTTTAAATATACAAGAAGATAATGTTACAAGCTAAGGAATAACAAGGAATAACTAATTTGGCCTCCAGATAGGCCGGGGATCTGTGCTTAAACCGTTTGGGAATTATAGTGAAAATAGCATTTGCTTTGTGTGTGTGCCTGTAGACTCCTGCCCATACCGATTCTTGTAGTTGGATATGAGCTGCTCGCGATCCGGTCCGGTGCCAATGATTTTGACATAGACCTGCGACTGGTCGACTATGTGCGGATTCTCCAGATGCTGAGCCACGGGTATGGCCAGCTCGGCAATGAGCGGCTTGAGCGGCGCCAGTGTGCCGCTGGTAAGGATGACGCTGCGCACATGTGCATTGAGCAGCTGTTCCATGCCGAAGCCCGGATTGAAGCACCAGAAATTAATGATCTTTGCCGCCTTGGCGACGCTGCTCGCTGCATTGTTGCCCTTGCCCAGCCAGCCGGTTTGCGGCTTGGCACTGTTCGCTGCATGTTTCGACTGTTTGTTGTCCTCAATCTCGACGTGCACCTTGAAGCTGCGATGCACCTTGGACATGACATCCTCCTTGTTGGCAAACACAATGTTCAGCAGATCGGCGAGCACCATAAAGCTGCCGCCCTTGCGCAGCATCGTCGAGTGCTGGGAGGCGACCATGAGATACTGCACCAGCTTGTCCAGCAGGGCGACAATTGTGGCGCAATTGCCATAGGTGAACTGCATCGGTATGGGCACAAGGATTAGCTTTATGTTACTTGTTTAGGGGCTGGATCAACTCACGTTTGCTTTGCCGAGAAGCTCGTAGATATGCGCAGCTGGATAGGTGGTGCCTTCGGCTTTGTTGTCGACGACAACGCCATCGATGGCCTTCTCCAGCTCGAGGAGCATCTCCTTGAGCAGCGTCAGATCGTCGAGCGTAAAGTCTTTGGGCTCTTCGGGACCGCCCGTGTCCTGTGCATCGCCGCTGGTGAAGATTTTCATAATGTGCGTGATATCCTCAATGGCCATGGCCACATCGGAGGAGCGTATCTGCACCGAGGCGGACTCCTCGCAGATCTTCTCGATGTTGTGCGCCTCGTCCAATATGACAATCGTGTTGCTCAGCTCAATCTTGTTCGCCTTGCGCGCCTTGGGATCCAGCAGATAGTTGTAGGGCATGAATGTGATGTCCGCGCCGTTGACCAGCTCCTTGGAGGCAAAGTAGGGGCACATTTTCAGGCGCTGGCCGACCTTAACCAGATCCTCAATATCCATGATGCTGGGACCCCGAAAATCGGGATGATCCTTTTTGGACTCGACGCGCAACTGGAACGAACACGTCTTCGCGTGCACCTTCAGCTTGCACATGTTCACCTTGTTCGAGTTGCCCTGCTCCCGCATCACGTCCGGATGTATGCAGAGCTGATCCCGCGAGCCGAGCACCACAGATCTCATGCTGGCATAGGCGGTGCGTTTTAGCTCACGCATCGCCTGACTCAGCTGGGAGTGGGTGCGCGAGGCGTATATCACCTTGGGCACACCCCAATTGTTGGCCTTGCCCATGACGGCGTTTAAGTCAGCAACGCCAGCGCCAGCTCCAGCTCCAGCTCCAGCTGCACTTGTTGCCTGTTTCTGTTGGTCCAGCTGTAGCTTCTGCATGTACTGCTGCTGCTCCGATTGACGTGTCCGTATCCAGGCAAGCGAGGCGCAGAGCAGACTCAGAGTTTTGCCCGTGCCGGTGGGTGATTCGAGGACGCCGTTGGTGCCATCGCGCAAGCACATAATCACCTTCTCCATGTAGGCGCGCTGCACCTCGTATGGCTCAAAGGGAAAATGCACCGGAATGCCGGCGATAATATTCTCCGGCATTGCAGTCAAGTAGCACTTAATATGCTCAGCACTTGCAAGCAGACACACGCATACACGTATCCTATTATCGATCCGGGAAATGCTGTTTGTTGTCGTTCCTGTTATCCGTTGTCTGTCGAGTTCGCGCGCCAAAACAATATTAACATGTGTTCTATAGACAAACGACCCTGTTTTGGAACCGATTAGAACAGGCTAGTCGCCTGTGTTGTGTACGGCAAAACAAATAAATACATTATTGATGCCACATTTTGCTAAAGTATTAGCAAATCAGATTTATTATTTGATTTATTGCTAATTATATTCGACTGTTTAATTGTGCTCGGTTGTGAAATGAATAAAAATAAACAAATAATTAACCAAACCAACTCTGTGCCAGTTTGATAACTAACAGCCCTGTGCACTTATCGATTTATCGATATACACCAAAAATAACAACAATCGCAGCGGCTCAGTTAGTTTTTTACTTTTGAACAGAGAGGTTGGTTGGCCAGCGGCGCCAAAGTAGATGAAACAGATGCAATAGCAATAGAAAAGGCAGAGGCGACAACTCGGGACGCAACGAGAGTGACGGCCTCAGTGTGTGTGTGAAACAAACTTACCCGCCTGCTGAGATACTACAAGTAAACATACAAATTGCTACATACATACATACATGCCACCACTGGTCGTGTCGTGGTCGTGTCGCTTCGGCGGTTCGGCTGTCGGTCGGTCGTTTGCGCCATCGCCGTCGTTGCCGTTGTCGTTGTCGTCGTCGTCGCCGTCGTCGTCGTCATCGTCATCGTCATCGCAGTCGACAGTCAGTCAGTCAGTCAGTCAGTTGGCGAGTGGATTGGTTGGTTGGATGTTGGGTTCGGTTGCGCGGTCGGGTGGCGGGGGCGGCTGCTTGGATGAGCGAGCGCCAAAAGAGAGGAGCAGTGAGCGTGAGAGCGTGCGTATAAAAGTTGTTGTTTGTGTGCTATGGGCTATGCACCTTAATACAGCCGCACACATACACACCATACGTGTGTGTGTGTGTGTGTATGTGTATGTGCCTTATTTAACTGTGTGTGAGTGCGTGGCTATGGTCGTTGGTTTGAGCGCGCGCGGCGGAGGTGGTGATAAATTTTTGTTGGCACAAAGTAAAATATAACAGAATAAAAAATTGCTCAAAACAACACTGCGCGCTACCTACCCCACCCCTCCACTCCACTCCATTCCTCAGTCAGTCAGAATCACACAGTTCGTCTTAACGCAGATACAGCAACTGTAACTGTATATTCCCGATTAATAACAATAATATGAGTATTTGTTTAGTTAATTGCCAACAACATATTAAACGGCTAACGCTGCGCCCCGCTCTTTTTGGCTGCAGGCGCCGTGTAGAGTTAGCCCGTCCAGTCCAAGTAGTAGTAAATAGTTCAGCTTATGTTTAGTGCTTCTTTTTTTTTTTTTTTTTTTTGAACCACTCGACTCTCACTGAAGACGATGAAGATGCTGTGCGTGTGTTTGTGAAAGAGATAGTGTGTACGTGAATGCTTGTAATGATGCGAACGCAGTTGTAATAATGATTCTTTTAGTGTTATTAACGCAGCAACAATTATTGCACTCACAATCAGCTGCAAATAATAGACACGATAACATTTGAAATCTTGGCGCGTTCTATACAATCGGTTGCAGTGTTGCATTGCGTGTATCGTCGATCGATAGACGATAAACGCAATAGCCAGCCCCACTGCCACATGCAAATACGTTCTTGTTCGTGTTCATGTCGCATTTAATATTAAGGTCACTCTAATCATGCTGTTTGTCAAATAATGAGCGACTCTAACCATCTACCCCTCTCCCAGCTCTCACTCACATTACAGCCAAACAGCAGAAACAATTGCCGATCCTGTGCGGCAAGGTCGATTCTCAAATCAAGGTGTTGTTGTTTCTGTGTTGCTTTACAAGCTCTTAGCAGTAAATTTGAAAGACGTAGCGTGTTCAGTTGCGGCAACAAAAAGAAAAAAAAATTGCAGGAGTATATTCAACCCCCTCCCTACCCGCATTGTTGTGTTACCTTGCTGTTGCGGCAGCGTTGCCACCAGCGGCAAATGCTAATGTTATTGTGTGCTTAACAATTCTGTTTGAGTTTGTGTTTCTTATTAATAATGTATTAAATAATTTGACGTGACCGTTTGATAATAATATCCACGTGCTTGTTATTGGTTACCTGCAAGCATCTGCTTACCTAGTCTATTGTGCATTCTGTTAGATGTCTGGCAACACTGTGCTGCGTTGTTGAGCGTGAATGTAGTACACGCATGTAATACGCTTGCATGTGTGCGCGCGCGTGTGTGTGTGTGCGTGTGTATGTGTGTGAATGAGTGCTCCTATTCAAATAGAAATTGAGTGCTTTGTACTCGAAACTCAGTCAATTAGTCGCCAGAAGGCGGCGGCACCGATGACAACGACAAATGCAGGCGCGTCGATAAGAATTTTTCAGTTTTTTTTGTTTGCCGCGCGTCATTTTACATTCCTTCGAAATACATTGTATGTACGTTGACTTGCACTTAAATCGTGTCCGTAGCAAGGGGAGGGCTTTTTTTTTCTTAATTTTTTTGCCAGCAAGTGCGGAAATTTTAGATAATATCCGAATATTTTTCATCTTTGCCTTTGGCCAGTTGTTGCTGCCAATTAGAGATGCGTGCGTGAGAGTGACGTGAGCCGATCGTTAGAGATGATAGTGAAAAAAAAACTGCACACGTGCTTCTGAACTAATATGCACGGTCGTGTGTATGACTGCGACTCTATATATATATTTATGCCTTTGAGCATATATATATATACACATATATAAATATATGTTTGCGAATTCATTGTGTTTTGAAAAGAAGGCCTTGATAATACATTTCGATATGGGTATAAATTGTGAAAGCAACAGAAATATGAGCATTCATAGGTAGAGGCATACAAAAAAATATATATATATTGGCATAAATATATGTGTATATATACACACACACACACTTATCAGCATGATCGTGCATGTGGATCTCGTGAATTGATCAATGTGATCACGCTCACGCTCACGCTCATCTCTAATGCCAACAGAGCGATCGCAATCCCAATCGCAATCGCATACTAGCCAAGTGTAGAGTAAATGAATGACTTTTGTAGAGCAGCCGAAATAACTAACTGGCTGTGGCAGAGGGCGTCTCGGAGTCGATTGTCTGCTGTTTGGCCTGAATTTGTGTCAAACCTTTTTTTTTTTTATTGTTTTTTTTGTTTTTGTTTTTGTTTCCAGAACCCAGAGCGCTGGGGATGCGCATATAAGACGACAACTTGAGAGAGGGAGAGAGAAGAAAAATGAAAAAAAAAGAGAGAGCGAGCGATCGAGCTTTAAAGTCGCAGTCAGAAGCTCTTCGGGCAAAATTAGCACATTTATTGTCCAAATTGTGCGTGTTCTTGTTAGTGTGTGTCTGTATGTGTATGTGTTTGAGTTTCGTTTGCTTGAGCATTATCAGTGATTGCGAAGGTGATAGATGTATACATACGCATATGCACATATTCGTGTATGCGTATCTATCTGTCGTGCGTTCGTGTGTGTGTGTGTGTGTGCGTGTGTGCGTGCGTGCGAGTGTATTACAAAACTGAGCTAAATCGATTTCGTTTGTGTTTGCTTAATTTCAGTGTCGCACCACAGTGCGTATGCGCAACATACGAATTGTAATTGACTGATATATTTTTCCTTTCTCTTTCCATAACATTTTTTTTTTGTTTTTTTCTTGTCTCTCGTTTCATTGCAGAGTTTGTTGGTACTTTTCAAATCCAAATGTCAGCTGTTTCACGCAACATGTACTATAAAAGCGGCACAGTGAAACGAAGAAAAAGAGCAAATCGCTTAAGTCCAGGACATCAGGAGAAAGAAGCACGCTGCTAGCAAACACTGAGAAAGAGCAGCAGCAACAAAGTCAAGAGAGCTGTAAAAAAAAAAAAAACAAACAACAACAACACACACAAAAACACCAAAAAGAAGAAGAAAATAACACCAACTGCTGCAACAGAGACGACAACAACAACAACAACAAGTAACGGATAAGTGTTGGAGAAGAGCTATATGCAACAGTCAGTAGTTAAAAGAGAAGAAGCAGCAGCAGAAGAAGAAGTAGTAGTAGAAGAAGAGGAAGACGACAGCAACTCTGCACAACACACCCACAACTCTCAATTACACAGAAAATACCTACCTACGCTCTCCTCTCGCACGCTTGCTAGCTCGCTCACTCACTCACAAACTGCGGCTGCATTGCGCTCACATTGACTCTCCGACAGCGCAAGAAACGGTAAATTAAGTTTGCATTTAATGCGCTCACCAATCACAGCGTATGTGCGTGTGTGTGCGTGTGTGCATCAAATGATTTGTTTTTAACTCATGCGGTTTATTTAATTTTGTTTATGCACTTTTTTTGTATCTAAACAAAAAATGTGTATTGTTTTTTTTGTAGGTAGACCAAAGAGTGTTGAGAGCGTGAGTGTAGTGGGAGTCGGGCATTGGCAGCCATGACAATCATACTCTTCCTGGTGGACACCTCGTCGTCCATGTGCCAGAAGGCGTATGTGAATGGTGTGCAAAAAACGTATCTGGACATAGCCAAAGGTGCCGTCGAGACGTTTCTAAAATATCGTCAACGTACCCAGGATTGTCTCGGTGATCGTTATATGCTGCTCACGTTCGAGGAGCCGCCGGCGAACGTGAAGGCCGGCTGGAAGGAGAATCATGCCACATTTATGAATGAATTGAAAAATCTGCAAAGTCACGGCCTCACCTCAATGGGCGAATCGCTGCGCAACGCCTTCGATTTGCTCAACCTGAATCGGATGCAATCGGGCATCGATACATACGGCCAGGGACGATGTCCGTTCTATCTGGAGCCCTCGGTCATTATTGTGATCACCGACGGCGGTCGCTATTCCTATCGAAATGGCGTCCATCAGGAGATCATATTGCCGCTAAGCAATCAAATACCGGGCACCAAATTCACCAAAGAGCCCTTCCGCTGGGATCAGCGCCTCTTCTCGCTCGTCTTGCGCATGCCGGGCAACAAGATTGATGAACGGGTCGACGGCAAGGTGCCACACGACGATTCGCCCATTGAGCGCATGTGCGAGGTAACCGGCGGCCGATCCTATCGCGTGCGCAGCCATTATGTGCTCAATCAGTGCATCGAGAGTCTGGTGCAGAAGGTCCAGC